AATCACAATATGCCATATTTGCTACACACTAGGTTATTATCTATAATCTTTTATATATTACAAATTTTTTTGCTAATGAGATATTCTAAAAATTAGACATTATTGGTGCTTTCCTGAAAATTCTGACCAATTCTCTGCTTTTTTAACAATTATTGTATCATCGGTCTTTGCTTCAACAAAATAATGCCTATCTGTATTTTATGTTGCTTAATCTTGGTTATAAAATTTACGGTAATTTATGCAATCGTTTACTCTGGCAAGCAAATAGATTTGTCTAATAAAAATGCTTTGCAAATACTAATAGTGGTGATACTGACTGTATTTCATGCGAGACATCTTAGTGATAAAATTTTAAACTCATTACGCAAACGTTTTACCCGTTATACCAATAATCAACAATTTTTTGTTAATAGTTTTGTCGTGGGAAATTCAAAATCAGGGAGCAACATATGGCATAGACGAAATAAATAATATAAATGACCAAGAGAAAATCGTTTTTCTTTAAGGGAAAACAAAATTGAAGAACTGACATTTATCATACTGTAAGTGTTAATACTACAAGTATTGTCTGGTAGTAGTATACGTTTAAAATTAAAGTCTAAGAAATAGCTTGGCTCAATGTATTTGCAATTGTCAATATGTTACGCATTGCTTGTAAATTATCGATAGAAAGAACCCCGATCTATACTGATAAATTTTTAGCGTAACAAAATATCAGTATAACTAGTGTTTGACTACATACTATAATGGTAAATGGGGGGGTGCTACAGTCCAGATTATGAAACAAACTCACTCCTTTCTTGACGTCACATGAAATTTCCAAACACAAGAAAAGCGATAACACTTACCTACTATATAATACCTTGTTGTAAACTCTATTAACATTCTAGAATAACTTTGTCGAAATAAGCATTGTTCGGTTGTGAGGTTAGTATTAATTAGATTCTGCATATTAGTGACACAGAAGTTCTTTACTATAATAATCGCAAGCCAAAGTTGAGATCGAAATCCAGGTACATTCTTTTGATAAGCAAGTACCAAAATTGTAAACCATTTTCCTTTTGTTTTTTAAATAATGGAGAGCAATGTCCGGTATCAATACTTATTTTCGTTAGCACGTTTTACTATTGTTTGAGCAACAGGTCAAATAAGGCATTACGTTGTTTGTATCTTGCAAGGGGAAGGGTAATCGAAATAAGTTTTACTTGTCAACTATACAATATATCGACAGTTAGTAAATATAACAAATTTTGTAAACGTAACATACAAACTATATAGACTTTTGAAATAGTTTAAACCATTCTCAAAATCTATAATCTTTGCCTATAGAGTTAAGTTTACCTGTCTCCTTTTCTTTTAGAATTGAGTCTACAAACCTAGCTCAACGATTAGAATAAGCGAGGAGAAAATCGAGGGGCAAAGAATGTCGATAAAAGCTAACTATAGCTTGCACAAATGTGATCAGCCGAACAAAGATTTTGACCTACTTTCGGGACATACAATAACAGTTAATGATGCTACACAACGTTTAAATATGATAACAAATATAAAAGAGACTAATAAACAACCACTTAATGCTTACTCCTATTGTATTAGCAATATGCAACCACTTGTTAAAAAACGCAAAACTGAGCTACCATCAATTCGTGCATGTCGTTTTCTGATTATGGTCATTATTCTTGCCTTGTTATTAGGATACGCAATTATCCTTACACTTAACGTTGTTCATGATACCCCTTTTGTAACTACAAAATTTAAACCGGTAGACAGTTTGTCACTTCCGACGTTAATTATTAATTATGCATTCAACTTTAATATAACTTGTTTTTTTGTTTATAGTAAGTATCTAAAATATACACGCACATTTAAATTTGTTACTATAATATTCAACGTTGAAACAAGAAAATTTAATAAACGTATTAACACTAATTTATTATTTTATTAAATACATAATTAAGGTGGTGGTCATGTTTCGACTTTTGAAGAGTGTACCAAGTACATCCAACAGCCAACGTTCACAAATAATTTCTACTTTGGCTATTTTAGACCACCACTTTATTTACAAATGGTACCTTCATCAAGTACGGAAGGACTGACGGGAATAGGGTTTATAATGACCGTTACTGACACGAGATTTAGTCCCAGTGTTACTGATATCGCTCAGATGGAAATCATGTTAGTTGACACAGGTAACAATTAATTGTTATACCTTTGTGGCGCTGTTTAATTTTATCAATTAATCTTTTATCTTTGTCTACAATTTTGCCATCAAAACAAGAAACTGAAATAAAAATTAACAACGGGATTATTAGCGCTGACGAAGTCAATAATATTGATCCACACTATACCAATTCTTTGTTCGCACAATCAATATATACAATTTTTTATCAGCAAAAAAATTACGTTGACTATGCTCAAAATGTGAGAAAAATAATTAAACCCGGCTTATTTACCGACTTGGGCTTTCTACCAAAAACCTTTTCTATATCTTATTTAACTTCGAGATTAAGTGAGTAACGCATGAGGTTTTATACGCGCAAATGCTTTCTCAATAATATTAATTATGATTGTTACTTATAGGTAGTAGTGGTCCTTCCGCTCATAATACCGCTCTATTAAAACCTAATGTATATGGTTCAATCGGGATAAGGCCTAACAGTTTCTTTGTCAAAACAGAGATAGAGCTAAGGTAGACAATTGATAAAAATGGTCTATGTTATAATTATTACTTCTATGCTGAATGCGACTACATAATAATATTATTTGCTTTATTGTAACTGCAGATCGCGCACAGTAATGTTCGATACTTATATTGTTGGTAAAGTTTTAATTTTATGTGTTAATTAACTTTTCACATTTAACCTTTTATTTAATAGATTCTTAACGCGCTTGGTC